TTTAAAATTTTATTTTTGCTTGTTTAGGTGATTATTCAGATTCATATTCAAGTTGGTATCAATAATTTAACGGTTTTCTAACCATTTCAAACATATTATCATTGTTAATTATATCTATATATATATTTAGGTCCGGCAACAGCTCTCGTAAAACTTTCAAACGATTTTTTAAATATCTCAACTACAAATGATTCCCAATTCCTTTCTAAATTTATATTTCAACTTGCACAAATTATCCCCGTTTCTCCATCTCGATTATCAATTCCTTCTAATTTTAAATTTAGCTCGATTAATTCAACTCGAGATAGTTTGACAATACCTATTATAATTGGAACAGAAAGAAATGGTGAAATTAGAAGTGCAAGAGTAATAAATGATTTAGATACTTTGATCAAGAATCGTGATATTTCTCCAATAGGAATGATGAATTTGACATCAGGAATTGATAAAGAGTTTGGTGCCCAATGGAGTTGTGAGTACTTGCAAACATTTTAATGGATTTTAATGAACTTATTTTAAAAGAAATTTTTTAACTCCTTTTCTCGATCCAAAAGCAAATGTAATCCAAGAATTTTCATCCTTATTACTCGGATTGCTTGCAGGAGTTGTTGCTATAATAATAATTTGGTATTTAGTGACTAGAAAACAGAGTGATGTAATCCTTTTTTTAATCAATCTCTTCAGTCTCTTGTTTGTTTATTTTTAAATTTGATAATAATTTTAATATTTTTTTTGAATTTAAAAGGGAAACAAGTATATAGTTTTAAAATTAATGTTAATTTTAACGGACTTTATATTGGATGTGCTATTTATTTGGTTTCATGGTCGTGATGTCGATTGGCTATTTTCTCCAAGGTTTGTCAAAATTGCCAAGTTTAATTATATTCATGCAAATTGATTATAATCTAACCTCTTACATATATATATATATATAAATTGATATTTTTTAATTTTGATAAATAGTATTCTTTTATTTTTCGTTCCCTTATCTATATACACTACCTTTGCTGTTTTATTTTTAATCCACGAAATTTCTGAAAACCCTCTTTTTCACGATTACTTTCGTCGTCGCACTTTTCTAACTCTTTTAACTGCCCTATTTTCTTGCGTTAATTCTGAATTTTTTCGTTTACTCAATTCTCATTTATTTACGTCCAATCCCAATCTAAATTCTACTTCTAAAAAGAAGAAAATGGAAGAAATGGAAGGAGAATGGACATGGGTTGATGACGAGAACGAAAGTAAGAATATATTTAAAACATTAAAAATAATATTCTCAAATCTTTTTAAGGTTACTTATAGTGAGAAAGCTAAAACATGGTTATGGTGGATGAGTATTATTGGTGTATTTATTCAAGATCTGGGTCAATTTGTCGTTCAGGTAATCTAATAATGAATCGATGCTTTTGTTTTGAGTTAAAAAAAACTATCTTAATTTACTTAATTTTATTTTATTTTATTTGTAGATATTATACAAACAAAATACGTTAGTTTATTATATTATACCATTTCTTACGCTCATAACATCATCAGCAATAGTAGCAGTAAATTTAATAAGGTGGATTTGGCATACTGTTAAGTATATAAATAAGATGAGAAAGAGACAATATTCTATTTCTGATGAAGAAATGAGTATTAATTCATGAAAAATATAGATAGAACTATGGTTCTTTAAATTTGTAATTTTATTTTATTTTGTATAAATAAATTTTTTTTTTTCGATTTTGTATAAATAAAATTTTTTTCGTCTATAATAAATGTAATTAATCGTTTGAATTTTGGCATAAATAAATATAGTTTAGTTTCACCTAACCAATGTTTAAGTAGTCAATGTATAATTGTACAAGTATACAAAAATATATCACGGAGGTGTTCAACACCAGATTGACAGGGTTTTCCGAACACGTGATAACTTCGGAAAACTTAGAACTTTGGTTTGATGGAAGTTCATTTTAGAATTACACCTAATAGTAAAATCACGCAATGAAATTTTTTACTTAGAGCACAGAAGGTGGTTAATTAGATTAAATTCTGAGATATTTTCGATTTCTTCAAAAAGAGCGCTTGTTTTGATTACACCTGATCGTGACTAATTTTGGCTCGAAAATCACGTGTTCGGAAAATCGATCCTACGCCCTATCAAGATGACATATTTCAAGGAAATTGGTGCTAGGTGTACGAGTTAAAGAATGTTCAGAACCCCTATTTTACATAGCTATGACTGCACCTTAACATATAAACATAGAGGTGGATGCCAGTATAAAATAAATATATTAAAATTTAATTACCAAATAACTAATTTTAAAACTCTAAAACATTTAGTTTGAAAACAATTAATAATAATTTCTAAAGGTACTATGAATATAAGATCTTTAGACAACTAAACATATTCAATATTTTTTCATCTGATATATTATTCAATTGCAATTTTATTTAATATCCTTTTATTTAGTACTAGAATAATAAATGCGGTACAAACACGAATAAAGTTCTAAGCACGCAAATTTATATATTGAATCAAAATTTAGAGCCTCCATATTTGATAAAGATACTAATAAACTTCATTGGATTCATTGTATAGTATGTGAAATTCGTTATTCGTTATATCCCGAGTTAATGTATATAAATAAAATTAAGGCACTTTGGTTCTTGAGAAATAAACAAATCAAAATTTAGTTTGGGTTACAGTATACCTTTGTGACTCTACCAAGTTCTAAACCCTAAACAGCATACGCTCATATCTATTTTCTCGACAGGCAATTTACTTGACATCACTGAAGGTGGCAATTTGCATTTTATTAAATGCAGAGCTTTATAAATATATTATTAGTAAATAGTCACGCTCTGTGATGTCGAGTAAATGTCCAGTCGGCGAAATAGTTTATTATGTTTCATGAATTTGGAAAACAAATCCTGTAGTGCACTGCGTAATGCGTTCCAATGTTACCAACTCATTATTAACCTTCCTTATTTAGAGACCTGCATTGATTGAATAAACTGTAAATTTTATGAAACCAAAGAAAAAAAAAAGTAAAAAAAACCGTTAAATTATTGATACCAACTTGAATATGAATCTGAATAATCACCTAAACAAGCAAAAATAAAATTTTAAA